CCGGAAACGTCGCATCTGTCGTTGTTAATAACACAGATGGCGTTATAAAATATAGCATACAGCATTATGTCCTCTACAAAAATTGTATAATAAACTCAGATTTAAGTGAGGAGCAGGCAACGTTGCATATATATCTGGCAATCAGGTGATGTGCCAAAAAAAAAAAAGCGCTTGACTGCCATAAATCAATCGTGTTCGCCTATGGACAGCACGGGACTGACTGTTCTTTTTTCAGTGTAAATGCTTTTTTTTTTGTGATGTTAAGTCAATGTCATAGGTTTTTTCTAACCTAGAAAATACAACATAATGAAAAGAAAAATTATGTTTCTGAAAGTTAATTCCCAAATGTCATTATATGAAAAGTATTGAGATTAAAACAAATCATAGTTATGCTATTTTTTCAAAAAACACTGGATAACATTATCCGTATCTACGTATGTGGAGGATCTGAAAACAACTGTAATTATGTGGTATTCACCACACCAAATTTGTTCTATTCTTTTATAATTTCTTAGAACATCAATATTTCTTTTAGTGCTAATATGCTTTGCGTTGAAAACAAAGCTGTCCATGTTCATATGGAAATTTCGTTTTTAAATTGACCAAGCATTCGATGGTTAAAGTATGTCTACATATTTTATTAACACCCATCATACGTAAACAATATAGATTTTAATAGTATAGTTATATTAAAGCATTATTAACAGTTATTCAACGTAAAAATTATACTGGTGCACATAACGAAGGTTATGTAATATAAACAAAATGCTGTTCTAACTTGGCGCCAAGTTATAACTGCAAAAAATGTAGAAAAGGCCTTCAGTTTGGAATTTTCCTTACTTTTCTTGTACAAAATTATCAATGGGCACATTGATTGCCCCAACCATTAAGAATCACCCTGTAGTTCTCTGATTGTTCAGAAAGCTATGTTATAAAGATGTATTTTTATTGATTAGAAAAAAATTTCATACATTCTGCTGTTCCATCATTTTTATGAATTATCAGTTGATTTGTCCAGGCATTGTTTAGTTTACAAGACGTCTGAATGTTTGAAGTTCTTTTCAAATAATGATCTGAAACTTAATGTTCTCTTCCCAAAATAATAATATATCATAGTTTAGCAAAATATCTATATCAAGTTGCTGTTTAACTGGAGTATTTAAAGTTCCGGTGGATTTACAAAAGAGAGCATAGCCCATCTGACACTGCCCTGTGGGCATCCATGTTATTGTTCAATAACATATGGCTTGGATGGCATTGAAATTATAGTCAGCTTTGCATATCAACCCTGCTGCTCTAAGAATGGATGATTTGAAATGAAGTGTGGAAACTGTTTTCGACAAAAAGCAGTATAAATCATCACTGGTTATTGAGTCATATAAAAACTTACAAATATTGTTTGCAAATCTCCTTCAGAGCTGTGCCTTTAGGTTAGATCACAAGTAATCTCCGAGCTTCTGATAATTCTCAGGATCTCAGGGGTTGACACCGGTGGCTAAACTCTTCTGTTCAAAAAGTTATACGGAGATTTCAACAGGTATGATCTTCAAATGTTACACTTCTCAAATGAGTAACTGCTGCATTTCTGATCTTCCTCAGCATTTCCAGAAGCCTATCTATTGACTGGAAACATCTTACCAATACTAAAGTTTTGATTTGGAGTTTGTCTTATAGTATTTACAAATATATTAGAACTGTGGGTATTTACATGTTTATACTTCGCAATTCTGAACAAAAGGCACATGTCTCAAATAATATAATAGGGACGTTATTCAATCAAAATGAAATGTTTATGTTAGAAGAAATGAAAATGGCTTGCGAAGTAAGGTTATTTTTGCAAAGCACACAGCTATAGGAAGCAATCTACTAGAAATTTGAATCTGACCAATCAGACAACGTCAGTTGTGAATAAGCGGCACATTTTTTGAGGGTACAACATGATTGTCATATTGTGCACCCACAACACTGCTTTGTTTCCCATTCGCTCATGAGTTTCATCCCTTTGTATAGCGCCATAAAGAAGCCTTCCGGAAATTTAAATCTGACCAATCAGACAATTTTTAGAAGGTGTGACATGGTTGTTATTGTGCATCCATAGTAGTGCTTAGTTTCCCATTCGCTCATATGAGTTTCACCTCTTTGAGTATAAGGTTAAGTAACGTGTTTTGTGTATGCAACAAGACATACGCGTAACTGTAACGACTGTTGCAACCACTTGGCTGTTATAAATACACAGCTATATTTAATCTTGTAGACTTTTGGTCTCTTTAGAGTGGATTAAAATTAAGTGTCATGTAAAATTGTGGCACTAATTAGGGTTTACAATCATATTTAAGCCGATAATGACTTGTATAAACTCCTAAATTTCAAGTTGCCTAGTTGCGGGTAAACATTGAAACGTTGCCAAATCGTACTTGACTGTTATTACCATTATAGTCCGGTATGTTTAGAATATAGAGATTTTAAATCTATTCAAAAATATTTACTTTCACGCCTAAAAAAGGATAATACTTATCGGTATAATCCAATATTGGATGGAGTGATCGTCATAAAGCCGAAAATGGTACGTTTTAGATGTTTCGGTATCACGCGCTTGATGGAGTAATTTTAAAATATCTAAAATTTTCAATGGAAACGAATAATGATGAAAACAGTTGCAGATTTGAATCCGAGGTATGAGCTTTCTTATGTAAAAGCCGCCAAGTCCGTATCTTTGTTATCTTCGGAGAATATAGACTATAGACAGTGAAAATAGAAAAACCCTCTTTAATCTCCTACTATTCTCTATGTTTTAGGGCTGTGGTGTCAATCGTTTCTACAATTGTTATGACCTTATTAATTGTCATAAATCAAATCCAAGGGAATAACCACAATGTTTGTGTTATGTGCCGCGGTTATAATATGATTCAAGATGACGTCAGTTAACGAACGAATCTTGAACGCATTGGTTTTAACCGCGGTTTTGTTGCAAGTTGTTTATTTTAGAAAAGCGCGTATATGATTTCTGATTATTTTTATTATCACTTAATAATTGGTGCTTTTTCGTTTACAACTGTATATGGAAAGTTTAAATAAGAAACCTGTCATAATATTCATGGGAGAAATGTTTTTTCAGATTTTTTTTTTAATGATGGAACCATGGCTTTGAAGCTATGATCACTTTCAATTCTCTAAATTTTTCCGCGTGTCAAAGAAAACATTTATTGATTCAGCAGAAATGATGAAAAAAGAAATTAGCAAAACGTATACAGGTGGATATCATCTAGTCAGTTTATATGGCCATATTTTAATATTCTTGTGGTATATGGCTACACAGGATAGTTTGTTAAGCATAAGAACTACATTTAAAGTGCTCCCAACAATAATGAGTATAATTAATAAGGTGCTCCACTGTATGGTAAAACTGAAGTCAGCCTGTATCAATGTTCTCAAAAATGAAGCTGAAGTACAATAATAATATCCAATACTCGGCAAAATTCTAACTGGTCACATTTCAAATAATAATCAGAAATATAAAACTACTTTTAAGTTGGGTAAATACCACAATTTTGCGGTGATAACTATGACATATAACAGCTGATTCGTGACGTCACGGATCTTATAACCAAATTGATAATTACACTCGGTTGAACCGATCGGTAAATACCAATCCAAAATGGTAAATACCATTTCCATTTGGTTATCCGCTTGAATTTGATTATAGTTTGTACAGTTTTTCAGAAACGTTTCTGTTGTTCCGTGTCAGCGCTTTATTTTCAGGTTATGTTTTATTAGCCTGAAATTTCGTATCATTAAAATAAACAACCTCACAATAGGACAGCCCTGGCAATGATATGGAACAGTAGAAATCTAATACATAAACCTTTTTGAAGGATAGAAAAGAGTATGAAAATGAAGGTTATAATAGCGTTTTACGAGACAATTGTAGGAACTATTGATGATAGCGCCCTTAATTGCCTAGTTGTTTTAGTGTGTTAATTAAATGCTATATACTGTATGTTACTTCTACCTTTCCCTATCCTTCTACCATTTTTTAATTCTATACGTTTAAAAGTATTTTCAAAAAGATCAGAACTTCTGAACGTCAAAGAATGAGGTTTGAGCAATTTTTACTTCTTTTTTTTTCACTATCAATGAATCGATTTCTAAAAATTATAAGGATTTTTCGTTCTTGGTATAGCAATACCTTGCTTAAAAGAAAATCATTTACTCTATAAGTTAGGTAGTGATTATTCACAAGAAATTTGTACGCCTTGAGGATAGTAAGTGTATCTTCTAGTGACACAATAAACACCAGAATCTGTTTTAGCAGATGGAAAATTTCTATTGTCAAAATAAATTTTAATAGCGGTACGATGTGATCTGAAATATTAATATTTCGTAAAATTGTGACTGTTGAAAACAATTTGACGAATTTTCTTTTAAGCTGAAAGTATATACAGTATAAGGGATAAGGAAATTAAACAAGTGATATTCAATTATATATTGATTTATTTTTGAAAAATTACAATTTATTAGATTTTACAGCTAACAATTAATATAAGAAAATTGGAAAAGTGATAATAAAGAATGATATATGTATTCATTGTAAAGTCTATTAGGTTTTATAACAATTGATATTTTTGAATGGCATTTTCTATCATCGTCGAAGTATAATTCGCTTAGGATCTAACATCAGCGTGAAGATATTAAATGCCTAAAAAAATTTATTAAATATAAAATTATATCTAGGAGTATATGTGTATTAAAATAACTTACATAAAAATTTTTGATTATCAGATTTTACTATGTTGATGTGATAATTTTGTAGTATTGTAGTTGTACATAGTAATAGTATAATAATGGGTACATATTATTTAGGTGGACTCTGTTTTTGCTTTATATAGTTATGTGTTCTACAATTTTAAATATACTGTAGAAAGAATCTGAAATGGCAAGATTATATAGTAAATTGCTAGTAAAGTGGCATTTCGTTTTTGTTTTTGGAAAAAAAAAATTACCTGACTGCCTTTAGTTTTCATTAAAGTTTGCTTTTAAAGTTATCCTTTATCTATAGTTTATTATCAATACAGCGGACAGGGACTGCGAGGAATATTGTTGATTTCTTTGTAGAGAGATCGTCCATAGTGGCGTGACAATTTCTACTTCTGAACAGGTTGCAAAGTAGAATTCACATCAACATTTTTCAACATTTATCATCATTAAACAGAAATAATTAAAACAGTGATCTGTAACTGATTAATGTTAGATGAAAAGGATTAATTTGCAGCTCTCAGCTAGTCCATGTTCGGACTACCCAGGACTCACCGCGCGGAGGTAGCTGCAAGTCGAGTCCCACCCTCCTTCCACCCGTCTTTCAGTTTCAATAAAATGATAAATACTTATTACAAAAAGAAAAAAAAAGAAACTGTAAGACGCACAAAAAAAACGTAAAATCTGATTATTCAAAAATTGAAAACAAATACAAAACGACTATGAATAATATATATCTGAAAAAAAGGAAATCTAAATAAGTAAATAAATATTTAATTGAACAAATGGTAAATGGTTGTTGAATTAGGTGTTTTTATAATCCTTGCATACATTAAATTTGCTTCTTAATTTGTACCAAAAAAAAACCATTTACCAAAACTTTAATGTATCATCTAAGTTACTTCGCTCTTGTTTGTTATTTATTTCATTGATTTTTTGTTTCCTTGTTCTATAATTTCAAGTATACTGAAAAAAATTGGTAACGGAAAATTGTATTTCCATCTATTTTCGCAAAAAATGATTGCCAGTGTTTATATTGTTTCTCATTAGACTATGTTTCCTAAGTTATTCTTCTTCCAGTATTCATATTGCAAAAATTATCTAGGTAGATCATATCCCTTTTTCATATGATTTCATTTTCCATCATGTCATCTGAAAAAAAAATTATAATGCAGGACTTTTTGTTAAAATGTCAGATTCTTAGAAATATTTAATATCTGTGTTTGTGAAAAAATATAGTTGATACCACTAAAATAATGTACATGAATGTTTTCAGAACAATATCTTATATCAAAGAAACTTACGTCAGATGTTTCAGACATTAGTATCCATTCTGTAATTGTATAGATATATGGTTTGCTATAATAATGCGTAAACACTATTTAAGTGGATTTTCTTTCTGTTGTGTCTTTTGTTTTGTAATTTTAATTTTACTGAAAGAGAAACCTGAAAATGGAGAAAATGCAGATGATATAGATTGCATTTTCCATCTGTTTTTGGAAAAACATGATTGATTGTCATCTTTTCCTATTATAGTTTGCTTCCAAGTTGTCTTTTTCTCAGCATTAATATTGCAGTTTATGGTTAAGTCGAGTTTTTCTTCTTTATAAGGTTTATTTTTCCAAGCTGTTTCTGTTACATTAGCATTATGGTAAATAGCAGACAACATATAATCCAGATTTTTAGACCTTCCAAATGTGAGCGTTTCGTAATTTTTGTGATCTAATATTGGATGCTCATTAATCAAGTGGGGTTTTGCTTTTTCATATATTGTTTTGTTGTTTAGTATTTTAAATAACCTGAAAAATAGACCTAAAAATGGAAATATTGTTGATGATGTAATCTGCATTTTATATTGAAAAGTTTCTCGGACTATCTCCATCTGTTGTTGCAAACTATGCATCCTTTTTTCAGTATTGATTGTAGTTTTTAGCTTGTAGGTTCATCGTTGATATTCCTTACATAGTTTATTTTTTCAACGATTCATCTAAAAAACGTAAATGGACATACATTTTTTGTCAACAAAACTGTTTATATCTTATAAATATGATATGGTTTTTGGTAAATAAGTCGTAGCTGATAGGATTAAAATGTACAATAAGATGTTCAGAAGAATATTTGTGAAAAATATTTGTATAACTTACATAAAAGTCCTTATTTGACCCATTAGTATTGTATACACAGAATAGTATATGGTAACATGATTTTGCTTGTGAAATTATGGTTCCTCCACTACCATTTATGTTGTAATTTATAGTTAGATCAACCTTTTCTATTTCTTTATGTTATTTGCTTCTGTAGCGGTTGAGTACAATGGTCTTTGAAATATATCTACATTCCATATTGTATAATTTTAAATAAACTGAAAAATAAAGCTAAAAATGGAAAGATTGTTGATGGTGTAATCTGCAGTTTGTATTGAAAAGTTTCTCGGACTATCTCCATCTGTTGTTGCAAACTATGCATCCTTTTTTCAGTATTAATATTGTAGTTTGTAGCTTGTAGGTTTATCGTTCATATTCCTTGCATAGTTTATTTTTTAACGATTCATCTAAAAAAAGGGATTAAAATGTACAATAAGATGTTCAGAAGAATATTTGTGAAAAATATTTTGTATAACTTACATAAAAGTCCTTATTTGACCCATTAGTATTGTATACACAGAATAGTATATGGTAACATGATTTTGCTTGTGAAATTATGGTTCCTCCACTACCATTTATGTTGTAATTTATAGTTAGATCAACCTTTTCTATTTCTTTATGTTATTTGCTTCTGTAGCGGTTGAGTACAATGGTCTTTGAAATATATCTACATTCCATATTGTATAATTTTAAATAAACTGAAAAATAAAGCTAAAAATGGAAAGATTGTTGATGGTGTAATCTGCAGTTTGTATTGAAAAGTTTCTCGGACTATCTCCATCTGTTGTTGCAAACTATGCATCCTTTTTTCAGTATTAATATTGAGTTTGTAGCTTGTAGGTTCATCGTTCATATTCCTTGCATAGTTTATTTTTTTAACGATTCATCTAAAAAAAGGGATTAAAATGTACAATAAGATGTTCAGAAGAATATTTGTGAAAAATTTTGTATAACTTACATAAAAGTCCTTATTTGACCCATTAGTATTGTATATGAACACAGAATAGTATATGGTAACATGATTTTGCTTGTGAAATTATGGTTCCTCCACTACCATTTATGTTGTACTTTATAGTTAGATCAACCTTTTCTATTTCTTATGTTATTTGCATTTGTAGCGCTTGAGTACAATGGTCTTTGAAATATATCTACATTCCATATTGTATAATATTTGTCCAAGAAAGAATTTCTTATTATTTCTCTTCATTTTACTGGATTATGCTGCTTTGCAATAGCTCATATATACTACGTTAACAGTGTAAGAGTGATTATTTGGAGTTTCAGCTACATGTTGACGGTTACCTATATTTATCATTTGAATCTTGAGGTTTTCAAAACTTCTTGCTCTTGATAGTGCAACATACAGTTGGCCGTGATCAAATACTGTTACTGGTAAAAATAAGCCGACACTGTTCAAAGTTTGACCTTGACTTTTATTAATTGTCATTGCAAAAGCCAGACGTACAGGGAATTGTCTCCTTTTCAAGTTGACTGGTAGATCAAGAGAATTTAGAGCGATATTATCAACTCTGGAAATAAATTCGATCGAAGGTTCATTATTAGATTCTTCCACTCGTTTCGCTTCTATAAAATTTTCGTGTAAATTATGAATCAATAAACGTGTGCCGTTACATAAACCTCTCTTCACATCTAAATTCTTCGTTAAAATGATAACTGCGCCAATCTTTAGTGTAAGTATGTGGGGAGGAAGTCCTGGAGCATCCAAAGAATTTAAAAAGTCTTGCGGCCATGCGGAATCTAAATCAGCAGCATTTTCGGTTGTATCGTCTTCTCGGATAATACTATCGACACTTAGGTATTGCCGTGACCTACCTGGCAGTTTTTCTAAAACAACTGAATTGATATCCTTGACATGAATGTTTAGTGGAGACAAAATCGCTTTTTGTAATAATGTGAAATCGTGTTCAGTTAAATTACTACCGTATATGCTTTCAGTAACATCTTCTACAATGATACGATTAGGAATTTTAACTATAGTGTCTCTGCTATTTTCTAAGCGACGTAAAATTTCGGAATTATTTCCTATGGTCATCAGCCAATCTTTGAATTCGTTTTCTTGTGGCAATGCTCTAACGTTCGTAACAAGATCGTACTGAACAAAGTATTGCCATAGTTGGGAACATTTCACTGATGCAGAAATAGTTTCATTTTTGCCTGCCAACGGAACGATAGGTGCGCATTGCCTGAAATCACCTAGAATTATGATAATCTTGCCGCCAAATGGAATGTCATTGTTCATTATTTCTCTTGTCTTTCTATCTATCTCATTGAATATACTTTTATGTACCATAGATATTTCATCAATACAATAATTTTTGAATATCTAATATTATCAGCAATCGTACTCTGATTGCGAATCCTCGACGTTGAATTTTCTAGAAATGGAACCGGTAACATAAGAAGAATGAATCGTTTGGCCATTTTTCAATAAGCTGGCTGCGATGCCAGTATAACACATAGCAATATAACGGTGATTATTTCCTAGTAAGTAAGCCAGTAGTGTATTCAACAGAAATGTTTTTCCTGCACCTCCAATTCCGTTAATAAAAAATAGACGATGTGGAACCCTTTCGTTTTCGTTTAGGGCCAAAAGTATGTCGTTAAAAATAAGGCGTTGTTCTTGGTTTAACAGAGGAATGTTCCTATTAGCAATTTGTTGTTCGTCTGCTTGGTCATAATTGTATTCATCTTCGATTAGGTGTTCTACTGGTTCAGTGGGTAAGGGTAGTTGAAAGTCTCTATTTGATTTGCCTAAAAATAAAAATGTATGTGATTGAACAAATATTATATAATTATACTGGGAAATTACTTACACATTAATATTATTTTAAAATAATGTATATAGATATAAGATCGATTGAAATAAAAAAATGTATTATGTTATGTTAAATTAATAGTGTTAAAGATATTGACGTAATGAATTAATTCATATTTTTTTAGCACGGTAGTGTTACCTAGAAAATGATTAAATTTAAAAAATTTCGAATACGGAAAAAATGTAAAGTAAAAATAAAAAGTTATTTGAAAACATAGGCATCAATTTTAAATGAATTAATAAAACTAATTATTGATAGAAATACTAACCTTGTAGTGTTAGATATCGA